TCAAACATGTGTAATTGTCATGTTTGTATAGACTGTATACGGTCATCTCTTAGAGGGTACAAGACTTAGGTATATCTGTGTGTACTCTCACTCTATCAACTTACACTTCTCTGATTTTGTTATGGTATCACGCGTAAGTTAGGATCCCCCCCACCTACCGCTTCCGCTCGCCCCTCCCAGCCCGTCGTGCCCCTAGCCCCGTCGCGACCCCCCTAGCCCCGTCGCGCCCTTCCTGGGCCCCGTCGCGCCCCTTCCTGGGCCATGTAGCGCCCCTCCTGGGTTCTGTCGCGCCCTCCTGGGCCCCGTAGTGCCCCCCCTGGGCCTCGTCGCGCCCCTCCCAGGCCCCGTCGCGCCCCTCCTGGGCCCCGTAGCGCCCCTCCTGGGCCCCATCGCGCCCCTCCTGGGCCCCGTAGCGCCCCTCCTGGGTTCCGTCGCGCCCCTCCTGGGCCCCGTAGTGCCCCCCCTGGGCCTCGTAGCGCCCCTCCTGGGCCTCGTACCGCCCCTCCTGGGCCCCGTAGCGCCCCTTCTGGGCTGCGTCGAGAGCGCTACTTCCTTGTGCTCGTCGACGACTTCACTCGTTACACCACAGTCTTTCCCCTGGAGCGCAAGGCCGCGTGCCTAGCGCTCTCATCCCCTGGCTTGTCTCTGCGCGTGTCCACCGCGGTCTCCCTGTCTTGCGTCTTCACTCAGACCGTGGTGGCGAGTTTGCCTCAGGTGTCCTTGGTCGCTTTTGTCGTGCGGAGGGCATCACCCAGACGTTCACCCTACCGGACTCCCCACAGCAGAATGGGGTCGCTGAGCGACGCATCGGTTTGGTCATGGAGGTGGCTCGCACCTCCATGATCCATGCCGGTGCACCCCATTTTCTGTGGCCGTTCGCTGTGCGCTACGCTTCTCACCAGCTTAACTTGTGGCCGCACCCTCAGCAGCCGCAGGTTTCGCCGACCCGTCTTTGGACTGGGTCTCCTGGTGACGCGTCTGCGTTCCACGTCTGGGGCTGCCTTGCTCACGTCGTGCCTCCGGCACGGACAAGCTCACTGCCCGCACCCTTCCCTGCGTCTTCCTCGGTTTTCCCCTTGACGCGTCCGACTGGCACTTTTACCACCCGCCGTCTCACCGCTTCTTTCACTCTCGACGTCACCTTTGACGAGTCCGTTCCTACTACCGTCGCTTCCCCCACCGTGGTCCCCGGTTACCCCCCCCTGTTCCTGGTCACTCCTTCCCCGGTAGTCCCTGCCCTCCTCCTCCTCCTCCCGTCCGCCCCCTCTGGTGTGTCCCACGTCACCCCCCTTCCGTCGGTGGACCCGGTTGAGGAGTCTTCTGACTCTGGTGGCCCTCCTGTGCAGTCCTCGCGGCCCCTCCCCTGTCCCCTCCCCAGTCCCCTCCTCCACCGCCTCTGCCGCCGCTGCAGCCGTCGTTGTCGCCCGCCGCCGCCGCCGTCGCGCCCCGTTCGCTGACTCTGGGGGTGCTCGTCCCGGTCGCCCTGGGGGTGGTCCCTCTGGGGGTGCTGGTGTGGAGAGTGCCGGTGGTAGCCGAGGAGCAGCTTGCGGTCCAGGTGTCGCCGTGCGCCGCAGCAGCAGTCCCCGCCGGTGTCAGCCCTTCGCCTGCTCGGCCTTCCGTCCCCGACCCTGCGTCGGTTCCTCCCCGGCCGTCTCCTCCTCTTCCTGTCTACGGCCCGTTTTCCCTCCCCGGACTCGTCCCCGGCCTGTCTCCCCCTCGTTCCCCTCCTGTGTCCCCTCCCCTGTCTCCTGACCCGACTCCTCCGTCGCACGTCTGGTCTCACCGTCCCTCCCGTGCTCGTCCTGCCTCGCCTGTCTTGCGCTCCCACCCTATGTTGCTTCGTTCCCACGCGTCTCGTCCTCCCCTTCTGCCGTCGCCTCCTCCGTCCTCCCTTGTTGTTGCACCCCCCCGCTGTCTGACTACCTTCGTGCCGCTCGTCCCTTGTTCCTCGGGTCCTTGCCTCTCTCGTTACCGACCCGTCTGTTCCGGTCTCGTGCCTTGACGCTCTTGTCGCTGCTGTCGCTGACTTCGCCTCTACCCGCCGCCTTGACTACGCCACGCTCTGGTCTCTGACCCTGCCTGTCCTCCGTCTGTCGGGGGTGCTCCTGCCCTTGGCAGTGACGTCCTGGAGGACCGCCAGTTCGAGCTTGCTTTCCTCTCCGAGGCTGCTCCCCATCTCTGTTCCATGCTGCTAGTCCCTGAGGGTGACCCAGACGCTTTCGACATCCCGACCCCTCGCACTTACGCTGAGGCGACTTCGGGACCCTGGGCCTCGCAGTGGATAGCTGCCATGGAGCAGGAGATGGCATCTTGGAGATCCACCGGCACCTTCGTCGACGCAGTTCCCCCACCTGGGGTGAACGTAGTCGATGGCCGCTGGCTCTTCAAGGTGAAGCGCCCTCCTGGAGAGCCGCCTGTCTTCAAGGCGCGCTATGTGGCTAGAGGCTTCAGTCAGCGCGAGGGGGTGGACTTCTTCCAGACCTTCGCTCCGACCCCGAAGATGACTACTCTTCGGGTTCTGTTACACCTAGCTGCTCAGCGTGACTACGAGCTTCACTCCCTCGACTTCTCCACTGCCTTCCTTCAGGGCAGCCTACACGAGCAGGTCTACTGCGTCGCCCTCAGGGCTTTACTGGCACCTTCCCTCCTGGGACCCAGTGGCTCCTGCGGCGCCCCGTCTACGGCCTGCGCCAGGCTCCCCGTGAGTGGCACGACACTCTCCGTGCTACGCTTGCTGACCTGCAGTTCTTTCCGTCTTCCGCAGACCCTTCACTCTTCGTTCGTGCTGGCCAGACTCCGTTCTACATCCTTGTTTACGTCGACGACCTGGTCTTTGCCACAGCAGACAGGGACGCACTGGCCTCCGTGAAGGCAGAGCTGCTGAAGAGACACACGTGCACTGACCTTGGAGAACTGCGCCGTTACCTTGGCTTGCAGATCTCCAGGGACAGAGCTCGCGCACCATCACCCTGACTCAGTCACACTTGGTGCGCCAGGTCCTTCAGAGGTTCAGCCTTCAGTTCTCCTCTGCACAGCCCACCCCTCTGCCTGTAGACCACAGACTCTCCGCTCCAGTGTCTGAGGAGTTGGTAGAGCCCAGCGGCCCTACGCAGAGCTGGTGGGTTGCCTCATGTACCTGATGACTTGCACTCGCCCAGATCTCGCATACCCTCTCAGCATCCTGGCTCGCTTTGTGGCCACAGGCAGACACCGACCGCAGCACTGGTCTGCCGCTAAGAGGGTTCTGCGTTATCTTGCTAGTACATCGGGCATGGGGTTAGTGCTAGGAGGACGCGCCAGTGGTCCTTACTGGACACACAGACGCTTCGTGGGCAGACGACGCCGAGACACTCAGGTCTTCCTAGGGCTACTTCTTCAGCCTTGGCTCAGCTGCCGTCTCGTGGAGAGCTACTCGCTCCTCGTCTGTTGCGCAGTCCAGCTGTGAGGCTGAGATCTACGCTGGTGCCATGGCGGCACAGGAGCTCCGCTGGCTGACCTTCTTGCTCACTGACTTAGGTGAGCGGCCTAGCTCTGCCCCGGTCCTGTTCGCTGACAACAGGGCCATGATCCTCCTGTGTCAGGAGCCTCGACTGAGGGCAGAGCGAAGCACATTCAGCTGCGGTACTTCCTCCTGCGTGAGCTACAGCAGCGACGTCAGGCTCGCGTAGTACACTTGGCCTCAGGTGCCAACACGGCTGATATCTTTACGAACGCTTGCGCCTAAAGATCATCAGCGGCACTGTGTACAGCTTGGTCTAGTTCCTGTAGCCTCTCACTTGCTAGGACCTTGACTTTGTACTGTCCTTTATATGTATACTCAGACTGGACTTGTGTCCTCTCCCAGTGGCTGGACTAGTAGTGCCGCCCTGCTCTTGTTCTTGCCTTGTCTGTACTCCTTCTGACTGGTCTCTCAGACCCTTGTCTCAGAGGTTGGACTAGTAGTGCCGCCCTGAGCTGCTTGTTTAGGACATTCCCCTATGCAGTCTAAGGGGTGTGTCAAACATGTGTAATTGTCGTGTTTGTATAGACTGTATAGGGTCATCTCTTAGAGGGTACAAGACTTAGGTATATCTGTGTGTACTCTCACTCTATCAACTTACACTTCTCTGATTTTGTTAGAAACCACTTGAATTTGGTGCTTTGAAATCCGTCTAAGTATAGAATGGAAGGCAGCTTTGAGTTCAAGCCTGAACAAGAAAAGTGCATCGAAACAAATTCTGGTCGAGCTTGTTGATTGGAGGAATGGCGAAATAACTCGTTTTGCTGTTCGTTGCGACACAATCATTTGGATGCGAATTGCGCAAAAACACTGTGTTCATCGCATGGAGTTTCTACGACGGGTTTGGGCGAGCAGCTTGCGACGAGGAAATACAGGCGCTTTATGACTGGGGAATTCAAGTGATTTCCAAGTCTGCAATTCCAGAATCAGCTTCTGTTCGCCAAAAAACACTGTTCTTCTCGCATTTTCACTGTTCACGGAACCACGAATTTGGTCGCACGACGCATATTGCACTGTTCACCGAATGGTTTCGTGCAAAAACTGTCGCCAAACCGCCACGGTCAGATTCCGCTTTGCAAAACGAAATGTTTCTATTCTGTTTCGTTTACTCTAAAGATAAAGTCATGTGCCAAGTTCAAGAGGAAATTAAACAGCCTTCTTGATTTCTATTATAGCCACGGGCTTTAATTCCACCCACCCCAAAATTTTCATGAATTTTTATTAGCTCCCTAGGGTACTATATCCGGGAGAATACGGTACTCTGAGAGTTGAGTGCCGAAGTTCATATTTTTCTCAAGTGAGCCACAAATTCGACACTATGGAGGCACAGTTGACAAATGTCACGTGCCTCCCCTTCTCGAGGTGTGCTCGAGATGCTGCCACCTGGAATAATCGGACGACAAATATCTGTTTGTGCTTCCCCTTCCCCATGTGGAATTCAAATCAGGAGTGTTGCTCATTTCTGTCGCTTTTGTCACCCAAAATCGAGAGCTCCTCAGAACATGTATTTCATAAACAAGCATATACAAATTCCGATTATAAGACACCCAAGTTGGTGTTTTTTTCCCATGTATGACTTTTTAAAAAATCGTGAAGATTGATATGATAAGACCCACAGGTCTTCTATCCGGGCGCTGATGGTACCGGTAACAAGCTCTTTTAACTCAGTGGTTAGTGACTGAGTTATGATATCTTAGCCTGTCATCGATCCAATCAGCAAGTCCAACCGCTCAGCCATGCCCTTCAGCTCCACGCCACTTTCTCCTTGTCGTTCACCACGCCCACCACGTTTCTCGCTGAGCGCTATCGAGGCTTTGCTACTATCCCTTGACCTCCCTGTATCACTGTTGGAAGCAGCCTTCCCCGCAGGGGCGTGGATTATTGCCTTCTTACTAGCCTCGCCATCTCTAAGGTGGTCCCGAAGGTGTGCAGTGAGTTGCTGGAGGGCAGACAGGCAGGATACTCGCAAGCCATGGCTGGAGTCCACCAGGGCTCGTGCTGGCTCCTGGTCAATGTGGTGGAGGGAGGGGGAGGTAGAGGGAGGAGGGGGAGGAGGAGGGGGAGGGGAGGGGGGTAATGTAGGAGATTTGTCGTTTGGGGCATGCAAGTCGGGAGGAGTTGAGAGGATACTCGCAAGCCATGGCTGGAGCCCACAAGTGGACGTGCTGGCTTCTGGGCAACGTTGGGGCGGAGGAAGGAAGGGAAGGAAGGCGGGGGGGGGGGTCTTGCAGTTTGGGACAAGCAGGTCATATGCAAACGATGCCTGTGTGGAAGGAACAATGTGAGCGGGTGTGTGCAAGAGAGGGGGAAAGAGAGAGAAGAGAGAGAGAGAGAGAGAGAGAGAGAGAGGAGGGGAGAGGAGAGAGAGAGAGAGGAGGAGAGAGAGAGAGAGAGAGAGAGAGAGGAGAGCATGAGTCCTCAGTATATAAGCTTCGTCATCTATGTAGTTCAGAGATTTTTCTTCAACTGGTGGCGAGAGAGAGAGAGGAGAGAGAGGAGAGCGAGAGAGAGAGAGAGAGAGAGCATGAGTCCCTCCCCAGCTATATTAGCTCTCTCCCTCCCTCATTCTTCCTGTTTAGTTTCCTGTTCTTTCTTTTCTTCAACCTTTGGTGGCGGCTCGCGTCGGCGGCCTTCGGCCGCGCGTGAGGCGGTGGCAAGTACACCCTTCCATTAGAGGCGGCAATTACAGGGCATACGCGATGGAGCCACGCATACTCTAGCATAGGACCTGAAGTGCACACGAGCAAAAACTCCCAATGGAGTCCCTGATACAGCTCACTGGAGCCGTCGCGCTCGACAGAGGGTCGCCTCCACGCACCTATCATCGGAGGGTGCCGATCACTCGTCGTCCTCCTCCCCCGCCGTCGCCAACAATCCTGCCAGAAGCCGCTCCACGCATTGCAACACTAACACGCAGGCGCCAACATGATCTACGGTTGATGCCGAGTGGAGGCTCGCCGCAATTGCTTTCATTGCTGCGACAACCCCGCGGTCCATGCCGCTTCCCGGGGCGGGCGCTGGCAGCACTCGCCCAAAGAGAACCATCAGTTCATCTGATGAGTCTGAGCAGTTCTGGAGGGACATGTGGGGAAGCGCCCATGGATTCCCCGTGCCACGCAGCGCAGAGTGCGCTACGGCGAGCATTCTCGCCACCGCCCCCGTCGCCGTCCCCAAGTGCCCAAAGCGGCGGAGTGTGGCGGCTGGTATCGCCACCATCCTCTCCACGCGCCAGAGACGGTCAACCCGGACCCTGGGCGGAATCCGCACCCCGCCAGTCCGACGCTGGCCACCGGATACCTCACCCGGAGGGGAGCCCTCCCCGGAGGACTCCGCCCCCCCCCTCTCCGCTGATGCTGCCCCCGCCTCAACTCCAGTCGGCGAGGGGAGCTGTTGACGCGGGGGGACGAACGGACCATAGGCGCCCGGGCCTGAGAACATTGACGGAAGGGGCGGCGGCTGTGGCTCCAGCCACTGCGGGCCGGTCGACGGGAGCGGAGGCGGTTGCCAGGAGGGCAAGGTCGGCTCAGACAGAGATAGGGGGCGCCCGTGCGGATCAGGCAGCTGGTAGGTGGACTGAGGATGAGACTGAGCTGGGGGCGGAGGCCGGGGAGGGAAATTCTGAACGAGGCCAGAGAGAGGTTGGAGGCACGCTGTCGGATATGGTGCACGATCTGCTGGCGCCGCCGGTGGAGGTTGGAAGCGCGCTTCCGCAGGGGGGGCAGCAGCAGGGTGGCGCATGGCCGGAGCCCCCTGCATGTGGGCGCACAAGCTCTCTAGCACGGCGGTATTCCGAGCAAGGGTTTGCTGCAGGGCGGCGGCCCCGCCCCCGCTCGCCCCGCGATGGGCTTTCCCGCCACGCCAACCCCGCCGTTGCCCGACGCGATCCCGCCCATCCGTGCGGCGAGGTGGCTGTGAGGGGGCTACCACCGCCGGGGGACGGCGTCGTGGTGACTCCTGCCGACTGGTGCGCTGGCGGAGGGGCTCCCCCCCCCGCAACGACTGTGGCGGACGGACCGGCGACGGGGGACGCGATACTGCCTGGCGGGGCGGCACCAATGCCAGTGGGACGGAGCTGCGGCCGGGCGGAGGGGTTTCCGAACGACTCTCGCGATGCGGTGGGGTTGATGTACAGCTCCCTGCCTGGTCCGGCGATGCAGGGTGGTCTGCTGCAAGGGCGAGGAGACCGCGCTCCCACCGCATGTCCGAGTGAACAGCGGGCGGTTTCGCCGGACCTAGGGGTGGGGAGACACTCTCCCCGGAGCCCTCAGGACCAGCCGATCGCTCACGACGAGGGCGGACACCGGGGACGGCGTTCCGCACCCGCTCCATCGCCGCCCGTAATGGGCGCGGCGGCGGCGGCGGCGTTGGAAGACTCGCGCAACTCGACGCCCAGAACCCGGGTGATGAGCCGGGCTGCGAGGGGCTCGGCGGGGAGATCACCCACGGCCCGGGAGCACCGGGCGCACGGAACGGCTGGACGAGGCCGCGGGCGCAGGGGACGGCGGAGTGCTGGTGGACCAGCCAATGGCTACCAGCAGGCGGCTGTGCGGGCTTTAAGGGAACAGGAAAGGAGGAGAAGAACTGAGGATGACGAACAGAGAGATCTGACTTATACCCCCGACGGACAGTCCGACTCCCCCACTGGCAGCTCAGAGGCGGATGTGGAAGATGAGGAGCGGAGAAGGAGATCTGAAGGACGACCGCGAGGGATTCGAGGTCCCAGATCTCAAGGAGGCCCGCCTAACCCAGGGCGGAATATCCGTGGGGCGCTAGAAGCAAACAGCCAACCACGGCGAACGTACTCGCCGCAAGAACTGGCACTCGACGCATCCAGATTCGCCGAGGTTGCCAGCTGGGACATGTCCCCCCTTTGCGACAGTCGCCAGCCCCCGTTATCCCTCAAACTACCCCCCAGACTTCGCCCCCTTTTCGTCCTGGCGTTACTGACACCACTGCTGCACCTCGGCGAAAATTGGTCCTCGCTGGCAGGATGGCGCCTTTTCCTCCTGACACCAAGATTAACCCTTCGGCTCGACTCCCCGAAACGTCCAAACTGGACCCACGTGGAGGATCGTCTGAAACAATTCATGCGCGGCGAATGGCAGGAACTTTACCAGGCAGCAGTCGGTTCGATCCACAACCCCCCACCGCCACGTCACAACCCAGACACCGTCGGCAAAATATCTCGCGCGGAAGGTCTCGCGCGACGTGGCAGCCTTCGGCGTGCCCTGCTGGCGCTAGAGTCGTCGCCCGTCCAGGAGTCAACCACCGAGACCCTCAATGCTTTGAAATCAAAACACCCACCAGCGTTGACCGAGTCAATTGCGTGGCCATCTGAGGACGACATTGGCGCCGCGGTCCAAATCCCGCGCGAAAATTTCGACAAGTTACTGCGTACCTGCGAAAACGGCGTTGGTGCAGGACCCTCGGGCACGACGTTCGAGCATCTTCGTGACGCAGCTCTCGCCAACCCCGCCGTCGCGACCACGCTCCACTCCCTCATCAACCACATGCTCAAGGGTGACTTACCAGCAAATGTTGCAGATCTTCTCACCGCCTCCCGCCTCCTTGCCCTAACTAAACCCGGAGGAGGCACGCGACCCATCGCTATCGGCGAAACAATCTACCGCGTGGCAGGCAAAGCGGCCCTTTACTCCTCAGCCGAGCCTGCCCGCAGCCACTTCCTCCCCCTCCAATTCGGGGTGGCCGTCACGGGAGGGGGCGAGGCCATTATTCACGCCGCACGTGCCTTTGCCTCAGAGCTCCCGGAGTCGCTGATCGTCCAGGTCGATCTCGCCACCGCGTTCAATAGCGTCGATCGCGGGGCGATCGTGGCGGGACTCATAGGCACATCCCTCCGGCACCTCCTGCCGTTCGTCAAATTCTCCTATGGCCATCCATCGCGCCTACTACTTGACGCAGGGTTTGATAGCGCTCCCCTCCTCAGTGAGCGCGGAGTCCGCCAGGGGGACCCGCTCGGTCCATTACTCTTCGCCGCGGCTATCCACCCCGCCCTCCGAGCCACGGCGGACGCCCACCCCTCTATCCTCTGCCTCGCCTACGCCGATGACATCTCTTTCCTCGGTGACCCAGCCGAGTGCACCTCCGCCTTTACACACTTCACAGCCGCCCTCGCCGACCTGGGCCTCTCCCACAACCCTGATAAGTGTGCCGCCTGGTCGGCGACACGACCGGCCCCGCACCTGCTGCCGCCGGCGATCCCCTTCCGCACGGACGGCCTCCGGGTGCTCGGCAGCCACATCGGCCCCCCGGAGGGGGCAGCCGCCTTCCTTCGGGCCCAGCTCGCCTCCATGGCCTCCCCCTTACCTATCCTGGCCATCATGGACCCGCAAATCGTGTCCTTACTGCTCCATCGGTGTATCTCGCGCCGAGTCTCCTACCTCGTGCGCACGACACCGGTGAACCTGCTCCCGATAGCCGAGTGGTCCAGGTGGGGGCGGGACCTCTTCTACACGCTCCTGCGGGTAAGCGGCCTACAGACGCCCCGAGGGGAATCTGAACAGCTCCGCACCTGGGCCCAAGCTTCACTACCGCCCTCACTAGGAGGCCTTGGCCTAGCGGACCCTGTGGTTGAAGGCCCGCACTCCTTCTTGACCAGCACCACCCGCGCCCATGCCCTCCTCGCCTCTCTGCCCACCGCAGCCGCCAGCCCCCTGTCAACGGCACTCCGGCCCTTGGCGCCTCCGTTCTCCAGCCCCACCACCCTTCATACCTGGCTGACGGAGTGTGAGGCGACGCTGCCCCCACGCGCCCTTGAGCTTCTTCAGTCGGAACGAGCGGAGGCGTCCGAGGTACCTTTGCAGCACCGCCTGTCTCTGGAGGTCCAGGCAGCCCGCTATACCGACCAGGTGGAGGCCAGCCGCAGCATGCCGTTGAACCCCAACAGCGGCCATACACAGCGCCTTTTCTCCCTCACGGGGTATGGCGCGGGGGACTGGCTCCTAGCCATCCCTCTATTCCCTTCCCTCCGGCTTACACCCCCGCACTTCGCGATCGCCCTCGCCTTTCGTCTGGGCCTCCCCCTCCCTGTCCCGAGGGTCTGCAACTGCGCCAAGCGGGTGGAAATCCCCGACCCGCGTCTCCCAAACCACCTGCTCCGCTGTGGGACAGGGCACGGACGCACTAATACACACAACGCTCTCCGGGACGAGTGCACTCGCATGGCACGAGACGCACAGTTCATCGTCGAGAAAGAAACTGCCACCTATACCCCCATCGGCGACCAGACTGCCGACCTGGCAATCCGGGACCGTGACTCGGGCGCAGTATGGATCTGCGACGTCACCGTCACCGACCCGATCAGCAGCCGCGATCCCCTGGCACGGAAAGGGAGGGGGTACATGGCGCGGGAGCAAGCAGACAAGAAGATAGACCACTATCGCAACCGCACGCCGTACGTCGGTTTCTTCCCCCTCGCCGTGGAGACCTACGGGTGCCCCTGTGCCGAGGTGCCCGCTTTCCTACAGCTCCTGGCCCATACTGGCGCCCGCCGCCTCTTCAATGCGAACCCGACCTCGTACCAGGCCGCCAAGCTGCTCAACCAGTTTCGACAGCGATGGTCGGTCACCCTCCAGCGCGGACAGGCCCTTTCATACCTCGGCAAGGTCAACGAAGCCGCCCCGCTGGAACGACCTGTCCTCGGGGCGCCAGATGACGGCATGTCTCTCGGGGACTGTTTCGTCATTCTGGAATCTGCGGGGGAACCTAACTCAGTTTAGCTGGGGGAGGGAGAGCGGTTTTTAGGCTGCATGCCCGTTCCTGACCCACTTGGCTAGCTCTGTACTCAGGTTCCTAATGAATGCAAAGGACCGCTTGAGAGAGAGAGGGAAGCCCTCACCTACCTCGGGAAGGTGAATGAGGCTTCGCCACTTGAGGGGCCGCCCCTAGGTGCTCCTGAGGCGGGCATGTCCCTTGGGGACTGCTTCGCGGTCATTGAGCACCCAAGGGAATAGCCGGGGACTAGGAGCTAGACCGAGAATACCATGCATGCTTATACCCACCTTATATGCCTCGCCTGTACCCACGATCTCCCAGCAATGAAGGACCGTTCGAGAGAGAGAGAGAGAGAGAGAGAGAGGAGTTAGAGCGCGGTACAGCTGTGTTGCATGGGGCCTGTATCACTGTCGCTCACTCCTCTGTATTTTGCAGTGTGTTGCTGTGTGTTCCTCCGTGCCTTGCATCGTCCCCCTACCTTTGAGTCGACTCAAAATGCCTTGCATTGTGTCCCTACCTGTTGCTATGATTGTTTCAATCCCATACTCCACCCTACCCTTACCCTCACTCTCCGCACCCACCTTTACCCCAGCAGGATCATGCAAAGCGGTGCAGTGCGGTGCCAATGCTGCATGTGTGATCCTGCAAGGCCATGCACAGTGCTCATGCATCCACCCCTACATAGCACAGGGCGACACATGTGTGGGTGAGTGTGGCTCGATGCACCATATGATAATAGCACCACCGTCTGCACTCCCATGCTGCCTCTCCTTCCCACAATGCTTAAATTCTTCCTATCCAAGGCATCTCAAGACACTACGAGTAACGAGAGGTTCCAAGTTTCCATGTAACAATGTTGCCAGTTACCAGCAGACGGCACTACTCAAGGGTTGATCAAGAGGAACCCCTCAAACCACTGTGCCCTTTCAAACATACGGATGCATGCGCCTTGTGTTCGGTTCTCTTCCCTTCTCATGCATCCCCTCCCCTTGAACATTTCTAGCCCCCTGTGATGTGCTACATTGTCACATCCTACATGTGTCGCCTCGCCTGCCTGGTGTTCATCCCCCTCTCCTCCCCCACTCCCCCACGTCCCCCCACTCCCCCACGTCCCCCCACTCCCCCACGCGCAACCCTGCAGACCCCTGTTCTGTGCTGCAGTGCCGCATCCCCCCTGTGGGTGCTGTGGCGAACAGTAGATAACCGCGTCATTCCCCACAGAAACCCATCCTCCGTTTACCTTTTCATCTCCTCTCTCCCTCCCCCCCCCTGCAGACCCCTGTTCTGTGCTGCGGTGCAGCAGTCCCCGAGTGTGTGCCGTGGCGAACAGCAGAGCTCAGTGCGTTTGCCGGACCCCTTTCCGCTTCGATGGGCACACGTGCACAGGTATGTAGATGCGAAGCGGCCGTGAGCTCTTGAATCGATTCTTGAGACATCTCACAGGTGCGTGCGACGGAGAGGGGGAAGTGAGACGGAGGGGGGTGTGAGTTCCCACAAATGGGCTTCCGTGTAGGTGCGCCTGCCTTGAGGGAGAGTTGGAGAGGAAGCGGGGAGTGGGAGAGGGAGATGGAGAGGGGGAGGGATGATAAGAAGGGGGGAAAGGGTAGAAGCCGTGGGAAAGAGTTTTGTATAACTGGGATTGTTGTCTGATTTGCTCTGACCCCTATTGCAACACTCATCGCACCATTCATGCGTCTACCTGGTACCCTACCCTATCTATCCGTTTGCAGATGTGTACCAGTAAACGCTCTTCACCAACAAATCACCCACCGTATGTGTGCACTGCATAACTGACTTGCTGACTGCTGCTGTGCCAACACCGTATGCCATGCCATGCCCATGTCACTCTACCATGTACAAAGCTATGTTGCAGATCGCCATCCAACCTAACCATGTAACTCTGATTTGTCCTTGCAAGAGCATACGGCCCTTCTCTTGGCCTGATGCATCCAACGTGCACCGGATCTTGTTTTGTGCTTGTTGTACACCACTTTGATCACTAACCGAAGGTTCGATCCACGGATTTAGTCATCAAAGGTCAAGCTACTTCAGACTTATTTTGATCTAGATTTGACCACATGTGACATGCCACTTACCACCACCCCACCAACCACTCTCTATGTTGGCTTGGTATGATTGGCAGCAGGTACAGTACAGTAACTCATTGTCAAATATATGTATAACTCATATTTGTATAGACTGTATAGTATCAAACCTAGAATTGAATAATGTGAGAGAGAGAGTACACAAACATATACCTAAATGTTGTACTCTCTAGAAGGTGACCCTATACAGTCTATACAAACATGATAACTACACATGTTTGACACACCCCCTGGACTGCATAGGGGAATGTTCAAGTAGCTCAGGGTGGCACTACTAGTCCAGCCTCTGAGACAAGGGTCTAAAAGACCAGTCAGAAGGAGTACAGACAAGGCAAGAACGAGTACAGGGCGGCACTACTAGTCCAACCACTGTGAGAGGACACAAGTCCAGTCTGAGTGTATACATATATATATATATACGACAGTACAAAGTCAAGGCCCGAGTAAGTGAGAGACTACAGGAACCAGACCAAGCTGTAAACAGTGCCGCTGATGATCTTTAGGCGCAAGCGCCTTCGTAAAGATATCAGCTGTGTTGGCACCGGAGGCCAAGTGTACTACGCGAGCCTGGCGCCGCTGCTGTAGCTCGCGCAGGAGGAAGTACCGCAGCTGGATGTGCTTCGCTCTGCCCTCGAGTCGAGGCTCCTGACACAGGAGAATCATGGCCCTATTGTCAGCGTACAGGACCGGGGCAGAGCTAGGCCGCTCACCTAAGTCAGTGAGCAAGAAGGTCAGCCAGCGGAGCTCCTGTGCCGCCATGGCACCGGCGTAGATCTCAGCCTCACAGCTGGACTGGGCAACCGACGAGGAGCGGGTAGCTCTCCACGAGACAGCACCTGAGCCAAGGCTAAAGCAGTAGCCCTGGGAAGACCTGAGCGTCTCGGCGTCGTCTGCCCAAGAAGCGTCTGTGTGTCCAGTAAGGACCACTGGCCTGCGTCCGCCTAGCACTAACCCCATGCCCGATGTACTTGCAAGATAACGCAAAACCCTCTTAGCGGCAGACCAGTGCTGAGGTCGGTGTCTGCCTGTGGCCACAAAACGAGCCAGGATGCTGAGAGGGTATGCGAGATCTGGGCGAGTGCAAGTCATCAGGTACATGAGGCAACCCACTAGCTCAGCGTAAGGACCACTGGGATCTACCGACTCCTCAGGAACTGGAGCGGAGAGTCTGTGGTCCAGAGGAAGAGGGGTGGGCTGTGCGGAGGAGAACTGAAGGCCGAACCTCTGAAGGACCTGGCGCACCAAGTGTGACTGAGTCAGGGTGATGGTGCGGGCGGCTCTGTCCCTGGAGATCTGCAAGCCAAGGTAACGGCGCAGCTCTCCAAGGTCAGTGCAGGTGTGTCTCTTCAGCAGCTCTGCCTTCACGGAGGCCAGTGCGTCCCTGTCAGCTGTGGCAAAGACCAGATCGTCTACGTAGACGAGGATGTAGAACGGAGTCGAGCCAGCACGAACGAAGAGCGAGGGGTCTGCAGAGGACGGAAAGAACTGCAGGTCAGCAAGAGTAGCACGCAGCGTGTCGTGCCACTCATGAGGCGCCTGGCGCAGGCCGTAGACTGGGCGCCGCAGAAGCCACTGGGTCCCAGGGGGGAAGGTGCCAGTAAAGCCCTGAGGACGACGCAGGTAGACCTGCTCGTGAAGGCTGCCCTGAAGAAAGGCAGTGGAGAAGTCGAGGGAGTGAAGCTCGTAGTCACGCTGAGCCGCTACGTGTAGCAGAACCCGAAGAGTAGTCATCTTCGGGGTAGGAGCGAAAGTCTGAAAGAAGTCCACCCCCTCGCGCTGACTGAAGCCTCTAGCCACGTAACGCGCCTTGAACACAGGCGGCTCTCCAGGAGGGCGCTTCACCTTGAAGAGCCAACGGCCATCGACCACGTTCACCCCAGGTGGGGGAACTGCGTCGACGAAGGTGCCGGTGGATCTCCAAGATGCCATCTCCAGCTCCATGGCAGCTATCCACTGAGAGGCCCAAGGTCCCGAAACCGCCTCAGCGTAAGTACGAGGGGTCGGGATGTCAAAAGCGTCTGGGTCACCCTCAGGGACTAGCAGCATGGAACAGAGATGGGGAGCAGCCTCGGACAGGAAAGCAAGCTCAAACTGGCGGTCCTCCAGGACGTCACTGCCGAGGGCAGGAGCACCCCCGACAGACGGAGGACAGGCAGGGTCAGAGACCAGAGCGGAGGCGTAGTCAAGGCGGCGGGTAGAGGCGAAGTCAGCGACCGCAGCGACAAGGGCGGCAAGACTCGACACTGGAACAGACGGGTCGGTAACGAGAGAGGCAAGGACCCGAGGAACAAGAGGACGAGCGGCACGAAAGTAGTCAGACAGAGGAGGAGACGCAACGACAAGAGAGGACGGAGGAGGAGACGGGAGGAGGGGAGGACGAGACGCGTGGGAGCGGAGCAACATAGGGTGAGTGCGCGGGACGGGGGAGACAGGACGAGCACGGGAGGGGCGGCGAGACCAGACGTGAGAGGGCGGCGTCGGGTCGGGAGACAGAGGAGGGGACACGGGTGGGGAACGAGGGGGAAAACGAGCCGGGGACGAGTCCGGCGGAGGGAACACGGGGCCGTAGACGGGAAGAGGGGGAGACGGCCGGAGAGGAACAGGCGCAGGGTCAGGGGACGGAAGGCCGAGCAGACGGAGGGCGGACACCGGCGGGGACTGCTGCTGCGGCGACACAACACCAACGCCAGGGCCACAAGCTGCGCGACGGCTACCTCCCGAACCCTCCACACCGGCACCCCCAGAAGGGACACCCCCAGAGCCCGAAACACCGCCAGCACCGGTACCACCCCCAGGCCCGCGGGGACAAGCCACGACAGGAGCCCCGGGACGAGTACCCACCTCAACTCCAGCACCCCCAGAGTCCACAAACAGCGGCAGCGACGAC